ATTGTTGTTTGGCGGGTCCGGGCTGGGGATTTGAACCCGCCACCTTAGGTGTACATGGCTGGCGCCCTAGCCGGTTGAGCCATAGGCGCCGAGCCAGAAAACCAGTTTTTAAGCCTGTTCTAAATAAACCCTACTCAGTAAAAACTAAAAAATTATGCCAGTACACATTATCACATTTATTCCCAATCCCATCAAGACCATGAGACAGTAAACTATAGCTAATAAAACGACGTGCTGGACTAGAGTGACGCTTCATTTTACCAAGTGTTTCCTTTACAAGAGTTAAAAGCGGCATCAGGAATTTCTAGAGTATAAGCTAGTTTCCGTAGGAATTGAAAAAGCATCAATTTGAATTTCAGTACATCATCTCCAATGCCGAATACTGAACACAGATTAGAACTCCGTAGGTTTTGCTTCTCAAATCTGGTTTTCCGAAAGCCAAAATGTGAAATCACACCTTTTCAGATCATTTTTCTTCGAATTTCATAAAACAATCCCCTCCCTCATATTCAAATTCGAAGACTGAGATTTATCTATTAAAAGATTCTTCAAGCACTGTCCTGTTCCTTTTGCTCAGATTTCGCAAGTGAAACTTCTGGTAATTTCAACAGTGCACACGTTAAACAATGAAGCCAGGTTAAATGACAGCCTAAATCGTATTCGTGAATTTACAGTGACTCCCTATTTGATTTTCACTTAATACTCTATGTTTTACGCCTTCAGGAAAGCAAAAAATAAATAAATAAATAAACGCATCGTACCAAAAGTACTAAAAACCAATTTAGGACAATTCTTTTTATTTTCCTGATGGAAGTAAGTGTGGGTTGAAAACTACCTAATACTTGTAGTGCCTCAAGATCGTCAAGATGAAAATAAAACTTCCAACTCTAAGGACTTTCGTAGCCCTCCAGCCAGTCAATAAAGGATCTGCCCTCCCGCCGCGGGTCCGTTAACACGGCCAGAGCCTCTCGGGCCCCAAGGTCTCGGCCCAAGGGCGTGCCGAGCGGCCAGGCCGGGAGGAGCAGCAGCCCCCGGCGGCCAGCCCTGCCTAGGGCGGTGCCGCCCCGGCCGAAGGCGGGGACCGCGCCGCCGGGGGCCAGCGGCCCTCGAGGCCGCCCGGGACGAGCGCAGGGAGCGCCCCGGGACGGCGGCAGCCCAGAGGAGCGCTGGACGCCTTTCCTGGGCGCCGCCCGCGTCTGACAGCCCGGGCCCCGCGAGAAGCCCCTAACCCCGAATTCGCGAGCCAAGGGACCCCAGTAAGGGACGCTCGGTCCCAACCCCGAGACCAGGAAGGGCGGCGGCGATGGCGGGCAGTCGCCTCGGAGCAATAGCAGGGAGGGCGAAGGGGGCAGCCATGTAGTGGTCTGGGGAAGTTGGGAGCCTCACCTGCTCCTCTCGAGGCAGCCGCTACCACTCGCTGAGGGGACGACATGGACCTCCGCCTCCAGCAAGAAGCAGCAGGGGCGCAGAAGAGAGGGGCGTAGTAGGGCAGGAACGAACCAGGCCCAGTAGGCGGGAAACGGGCGGGGCCTGGGCTCCAAAAGAAACCGGGGAAAGGGAGGGACGCGCGGAGCCGCGAGTGAGCGAGCGCAGGGCGTGCAGGCGAGACACTACGCGCTGCCCCAGGCGTGGCGAGGCAGGGCGCGCCGGGGCGGGAAAGCGCACGCGGCGAAATCCCGCCACCGCCCGGCGCGTGTGCGCGTGCGCACAGAGTTTCGGCTACCTGTGGCAGGGCGCCCGTTGCTACATCCGTTGGGAATTGTAGTCCCTCCGCTCCCTGGGTGCCGGCCAGCGGTCCCTTTTCTGCGCACTCATCCGGGGCGAAGAGGAAGCCGGGCAGGAGGAAGGCGGGGCTTGGCGCGGGTCTCCGCCGCGTGAACTACAACTCCCGGCAGGCCGTGCGTTGAGGGCGGGACGACCCCGGCCCACCAGGGAGCCCCGCCCGGCGCCCAGCGTGGAGACCAGGCCCCGGGCGGGAGCCTGGGGGTGACGGGCGGGGAATATCTACCCGCCGCGTTTGGGACGCTTTCGGTGGTCTGCGCGGGCTGAGGCCACGCATCTGCGGCAGAGAGGCCTCACCATGGGTGACGCGAACGTCACTGGGTTTTTAATGATGTTGACTTCACAAGGAGAGGTCGTCGTGACTTCATTATCACGCCACTAACCACCACCAATGTCAGCCCATATTCCTGTATCTGGCCAGGCAGCCTGTTGCGACTATTACCGCTCAAATAACTAACGTGAGAACTTCCAGAGAGACCTCTTTCACTGCTTTTGTCCAGCCTAACCCTTAGCCATCTTTTGTAAACCTCAGGTTTATAGAAACTTGTTTGGAAGCTGCTTTTGTAAACACTTTTAGTCAAACTGTGTGGTAGATCAATACAAAACAAAGGTCTCTGAAAATGCTTTTATTTGCACTTTAATCTCCCTGTGATTGGGTGAAATGTTACTTGCCACGGTTGAATATTGGCCTCTGGATTTGTTGGGATGAGGGTAGGTGTCTTGGAGATAAGTAGCCGTTGAAGCTTATGGGAAGTTAAAGCGTCCTTTCCTACACCATCACCACCTCCTGGCATCACCATTGATTGACTCATCCATTCAACAAATTATTCCACTCTTCTTTCTGTTTCTTATGGAAACAGATTATCTAGAATCTTCTTCCACCCACCTCTGGGTCCTGCCAAACCTTGAGCTATTTTCTACTTGAGAATGAGAGGACAGAGGTGAAAAGGTAAAAATAATTCTAGCTAATCCTACCTAAAGAAATCTGTCTTTATTTCTTTTCCCCTGCCTCTTCTGATTTCTCTCCAGACTCTCAAGATTGTTTGAATACTCTCCAATAGGCTTTAGATCTAATCCCAGCCATCTTGGACCAGCAAGAAACTAGAAGTGAAACATCCACAAGTGGTTACTGGAGTTTCACGCTGGGTGTACAGAAGGCAGAACCTCCAGGATATGACAAATCTGGGACATTATGTGGAATGCTCAGAAAAAGAAAAGAGAGGCCAGGTGCAATGGCTCACGCCTGTACTCCAAGCACCTTGGAATACAGCTGGAATGCTTGAGTTCACAAGTTGGGAGACCAGCCTGAGCAAAAAAAAAAAAAAGCCAGACCCCTCTCTCTACTAAAAGTAGAAAGACTGGGCAGTGCCTGTAGGCTCAGTGGGTAGGGCACCAGCCATACACAGAAGATGGCGGGTTCGAGCCCAGTCCCGGCCAGCTAAAACAACAATGACAACTGCAACAAACAAAATAGCTGGGCATTGTGGCAGGTGCCTACAGTCTCAGCTACTTTGGGAGGCTGAGGCAAGACAATCACTGAAGCCCAAGAGTTTGAGTTTGCTGTGAGCTGTGACGCCAGGGCACTCTATCCAGGGCAACAGCTTGAGACTCTGTCTCAAAAAAAAAAAAAAAAAAAAAAGACTGAGGCAAGAAGATCACTTGAGCCTAAGAGTTGGACATTGCTGTGAGCTATGACATCACAACACTCTATTTAGGGCGAGGGCTTGAGACTGTGTCTCAAAAAAAAAAAAAAAGAAAGAAAGTAGAGGCCACAGGCCAATTACTTGTCACAATTACAAGATGCTGTGTAAGGATTTAAAATTGCACACAGATCCTAGCAGTCTCAAATCCCTTTCCCTGCATTACTTTTCTATATAAGACTTTTGATACCTAACTTAGGCTTTACTTTTTGTTTGTCTCTTCCTACTAGAATCTAAGTTCCAAACAGATAGGAATTTTTGTCTATTTTGTTCACTGTTATATCTCCAGTGCTTCAAACAGTGCTGGCAGATGGTAGAGACTCTTAGCTATTGAATAAATAAATGAAGAACACACACATTACACCTAACATCACTCATTTTCTGGTTATTTCATTATAAAGTTATATCTAATTTTAACCTATTGAATGAAATACCCTGTTCTATTTTAAGGGCTCTCGATAAAAATCCACAGAAATAAATCCTGTCAGGAAGTGAACAACAAATACTGACATCCTATCTATCTCAATATAACATCACCAAGGTCACTCTTAGCACATTAGCCTTCCCTATACCTTGGAGAAGCTTTTAGCATTTGTACACAGTACAAATCATAGGTGGACTTTAGGATTAGTCACAGTTTAGAAAGCAACACAATGAGAAACATGTTTTTGTTTTTTTGGTTGTTTTTTTTTGAGACAGAGCCTCAAGCTGTCGCCTTGGGTAGAGTGCTGTGGCATCACAGCTCATAGCAACCTACAAATCCGATTCTCTTGCCTCCACCTCCCAAGTAGCTTGGACCATATGCACTCCCCAAGATGCCCAGCTATTTTTTGGTTGCAGCTGTCCTTGTTTGGCGGGCCCAGGCTGGATTC